GAACCTTGTCAAAGCCAGATGCTTTCAAGAGTTTACCCAGCACTTTGCCAACGCCAGCCAGTTTGGTCACTGACTTTTCCCCCTTGGGCTCGGGTACGAAATTCTTGTGCTTTTTAGACGTGCTCAACATTTTGCGTGAAACTATACTTTGAGAGAGAAATTCGTGGACGGATTTATGGCGAAGACAAGATAATAACACTCGCGATTAGGCATGAATCATAAGTCTTCCTGGTATCTTTCATCATTTTTACTACATGATTTATTTAAAAAAAAAAAAACATGGAAAATAATTTTATATCGATCGTTGCGTTGCGACTGATAAACATAAGTATATATGACAGACAATATCTGCCAGTGCATGTACTTGTAAAATTCCTCGATGATTAGCGCATTTTTTATCAAGATACGATAGTCAATGTTTTATTTATAACTCATAATCAAACTAAAAAAATCATAGAAAGTTGCGTTTCGTTTTATTCTTTATACGACAGCATTTTTTTAAATGTTAATTTGTTTACCATCGAAATTTTGGTTTTCTGTCTGTGCCTTTGGAGCACTCAACGAGTATAGTTGAATCCAACGTCTCAATTATTAAGATATTGCTTTTTTACCTAAAAGCCGATGTGGTAAAAAAATTAGAGAAAACGTAGTTAACGGAGTTTCCTCAGCGCGATGTCTTACGCGGTACTTGACACTGAAGCGTTTCGTGTACCGCAAAATAAAATACCGAGTCCCCACAAAACGACAACGTAAAGATAACTTTGTTAACACTGCATCCATGAAAATGATGCGTTAACGACTTTTTTGAGCGCGTGTAAAAAGGTATATTACATTATATTACCCTTTTGGTGATTTTAACACTTGACGCTTGAAATGTATCCTACGACCAGCGGCGTCGAAAGCACCGTTTGCACAAAATGCGTTCAATGACAGGGTTGTTTCGTTAGCTCATCAAAGATTTCGAGATGGGCTTCATGGTTTTTTCCTCCCCCGTATATCCGCTGGCGAATAAGTCATGCGCGCCAGCCAGCAGTGTAGCAGGACAACTGGGTCAGCGAGGACACGACTTTGCAGCGACGAACTGCGACGGCCTACGTGACCTATGGGCGCGCTGGTACCTAACAGGTATACACTCCACAGTAGTTTGTTGGCTGGACTTTGAACGTATGATGCTTGGGGGAGGGAATACGACCTATGCGATCTAGAAACCCTCAATGTTTACATACATTTCAAGGAAAACAAGTAACATCCATTTGCAGATCTTGAAGATTGGCATTTGATTGGAGTAGGTACGCCTGTACGCATCCCAATGTTTTACCAATAACATCAGTTGCAGCCAACTGTAAACTTACAGTAATGCACACGTATATAGACTTGGCTTTCCCGAACCTAAACCTGTACATATATATATATATTTTCAGGGCAATCCGCATTTCGTTTTCCCTTTGAAGCGTCGATCACCCACGCAGCGCCTAAATAACAGCGCACATATATATATATACATATATATGTGGACTTTGAGGTCTCGCGCTGCTGATGTACACTATACCTATACCTATACAGCCATCGGCAAAAGTTCTAACCGGCTTTAAAGTACACTACTTACTTGTATACAACATGTATATATACGTAAGCTCCGGTGCGTCTCTCATTGCAAAAGATAAACTCTCGCGTTTCGCGTACTGTATATTATATATATATGGCAAGGGAACTACCGAGCACGTATGTTATATTAATATAAGCGTGATGCATCTATCCTTCTGCCTTTCTTTCTCTCACTCTCTTTTATTTGTACTTACGTGCTCGCTCGCTCGGTCGATCGATTTATACATACTTGCCGCGCGTTCATGCACATACGTAGAAAACATCGCGTCAAAAATGTTTAACATACGCGAACAGTGTAAATACACGAGCTTATCTGGGTATAGTATATTATATACATATGTATACCACACGTACAAATATAAATCGCACTTATATTATGTGGATCATTGGGCGTGATACGAATCTCAAGTGTACTTCCAGTGTGCAATTGCCCATTTGAGCTCGAGTCAAAAATTAATCAAGTGGCATCCTCAATTGTTGAAATTTCGTACAACTGACGGATGTAGGTGGTATATATATTAAAATTGCATGCCAACCGCGGGGGGGACCGAGTAGACGTGCAGATGGTAAATTTCAATCATGGAAGTTGTCTCCGCGAGAGCAGGAGAAAAACTTTGCGAGCGTATACAAGGTGGCTCGGTATATTAGGCACGGCAGGAGTGAGTAACTTGCGCTGTGGGTCACACTTTACGGCCCGTATACACGGGAATCGATCGCAGCCCCGCGGCGGTGGCGTCTTTCTCTGCCACAGCCACAGGGGGTTACTACACGCATTTTCGTCCTCCGGTCAAGATTCTATGCTGCAGAGCTCATCGCTTCGGTCACGGTTCGATCAACCTATCTTCTGCCGCCCATCCCGTCCTGCAAATGTATATACCAACCCCTTTTATTTTTGCATAAACAAGGCACAGTCGCGCGTAAACCCCCTTTTTTTTCATGAGAGTTCACGTCGCCCGTTCCGCTGTTTTTTTATCGCTTCGAACGTGCTTCGTTTTACAACTTGTTAATATTTCAGAAGCCGCTGTAAACCCGAAAATAACCTCCGCGTTTGTGAATTGGAGCATCAACAACTACGGAAAATTGTTTTATTCGAACAGTAAAAAAAACGGCCCTCGAACAACTTATTGGCAGTTTGTATAGCTTTCTCCGGCTTTAAGTATTAATGCATTCAAATTTCACTGTTTTGGCGAGCTCTAAATTAAAATTTTAGCTCCTGCCCCTTTATTCTGTTGTTACCATGTTGATTTTAAGACTCACAAAAGTCACTTTTTTTTTACTTTCTCTTGGTTAAGCTCACAATGTTAAAAAAAAAATTATTTTTCTAAAAATTCACAAGTTTTACTGAACGAGCAACTGTATTATTCCACACTCGGTTGAAAACGTAAAAAATATACGTGTTGCGCTGATTTCGTATTACGTACTGTTTATGCGAAAACAAAAAGGTAAATATTAAGAAAAGCTCCGATTTAATCTTGACAACACCAACCACGTGAAAGTGCAATCAATCATAATAACACAGCGTGGCGTATCTAGCCGATCTCTCCCTTGCTTCTGTGAGGTTGTATTAAATTTAACAACGCGATGGAAAAAAATTAATTATTCGCACTAGTGATATAAATTAAACGACGAAAGGGTATCATTATCACGAAAATGTATTTATTATAAAATTACGAATAATGTTACTTAATTTTCATAGGAAAACTACGCGTGGGAGACTAGAAAAAAAAAAAAAAAAAAAAAAAAAAAAAAAAAAAAAAAAAAAGTTAACAATGAAGTAGTGAAAAAGTATAACCGAAAACCCTGACTACTTTTTCGCTTTCGCGGATAACGCGATGCCAGTGAAAGGATCAAAGAAATAAGTGCAGAGGCGTGCATGCGATGGATCATAGAGGCGGTGCTTTGGGTAACCGATGCCACCACTCATATAATCAATAGATCGTCATTGCGCATAGTGCAGAGAGCATCAGAGGGAGCCCAGCAGTAGGTGTAGGTACTTATGTACGTGTGCAGAGGATGAGCTCTCAAAGGGGGCGTTGATCATCGTGGTTCTCCCTCCCTCCCCCTGTGACGTGCAAAAAGGCTTAGAATCAATCAGTCCCCAGCCGACGCACGGGCTCTATACGTCCATACATGTACATGCATTTGTACCAATCGCGGTTACAGTTGTACAGAGCGCGCGGTCTAATCGGACAAATAGCTCATGCACCATAGCTGGGCGCTTTAATTAGACAATATTGAAGTTGCGGCGCGCACTCGATTTCAGTTTGCAAATTCGTTAGCCGCTCGGTTATTTCCGCTCTCTCTCTCTCTCTTTCTTCCCCACCCCCCCCGCCAACCCCCTGCCCTATACTCTCTTTCTCCTAAACTATTTCCGCATTTGCGGACTTTATGGCGCACGAATCCCGAGATTATGTTTCTACCCCCTCTTTTTCACACCCATTTATTTTCTCACCTTTATTTGAATGCATGCGACTTTCAAATGGGAATTGGCCGTTTTTTTTTTGTTTTTTTTTTTTTTTTTTTGTCTTACGGTGGTAATATGCGGCAGGATATACGCTCAACACGCTATAACCAACCAATTATTATCTTTGTTTCACGGTATACTACTACTTTTACTAATTTTCAAACTATTTGTTTCTTTCATATATGTTACATATTTACAAAAATAAATTATACGTCAAGTGTAACAATTTACTCTTTTTACACCATAAAAATATTTTTTATGATTATTAATTGACGTTTCTCATGCCTTACTTGAGTCTCATTTTTTGTTGTTGTCCAGTGCTTTTGTATCAGTATAAAATGTACACATTTATCAAATACGTATAAATACCTATTCATCGACATACATCAGCTTGTAGTGAATTTGACATTCGAAAGGCACAATTACTTTGCACACCGATACCTACAAGTATATATTTCTGTATTACATGAAATGCAAAAGCTAAAACTACAGTATGTACATACATACCTATATGGTTGTAAATGCAAGCCAGTGCGCTTTTATCGTCCATGAATAAGAGGAGGCAAATAATTATTATCGTTACTCCTCGCAATTTTCATGGGCACTGCGCAACGATCAGAGCAATAAAAAATTTTTAATACCTCAACACGTACACGCACGCACATTGAGAATAAATCGTACGTTGTTGATTTATTTATTATTTTGTTTTTTTTTTTTCCACCTCAAAGTGCCAAAGTTGCAAAACGCGGTTATTCGGTCACTTTTCCAGTGTGCGAAAGTGCACGCGTTATAAAGGCGCCAAAGAAAAGAAAGCAATAAAAAAATCGCAGTAATTGAGCGAAAGGAGATTGAGAAAGGAAAAAAAAAAAAAAAAAGAAAAAAAGAAAAGAAAAAAAGCCACGTTAAGCTGGTGCTGATTGATGTGTTGCAGACACGAGGTGCCAGTCACCTCGGAGCCGATCACGGTGATACACATGGACGAGGACGTCGTCGTGGTCAACAAGCCCGCCTCCATCCCTGTAAGTGGTGTACTGACAGGACTATGTACTGCCAAATCTCTCTCGCGCGCTTCATTCATTCTAGCTCTCTCATTTTATGTATACCTCTACCTCTCGCTGCTTACTATTATGTTGCTTTACTTGTTACAATATATTATGTCTCTTTACATATCCCGTTCCTTCCTTCACTTGCATAAAAGAGTTGGACTTTTTCAAACCTCCGCGAGTGCTCATTCACAAATTCAATACTTCGAGTGTACTTTTTGCCTGCACGCTTTCGCGCACACAAAAGCAATCGCAAATCGAGTAGCTTAAGTATAGCAAGTACTTATTTGTCGTGCTCTTTTGATCCCTTTCTGTACGAAAAAAAACGAAGAAAAGAATTTTTATTTGAGAATACGTCGGTAAGTATGCTGTTTCGTTTAATAAATTTGAATGGCTTCGCAGTGTGTACACGCGAGGTAATTAATTTGTTTTCCAACTCCATGATCATCCCGCCACTTAACATTTATTCTTACTCAGCTTTTCATCATTAATTTTCATTCACCATCGTAATGACGTGTCATATAGCCATCGTTATCATTGAGATCACGACCATCGCTCCAATTAACAACGTGAATGATATTTTCAACGACAGAGGTCGAAGTGATGGTGATGATGATAAAAAATTCTGGATGTATTTTTAAAATTTATCTTGGTGCACGAACGGCTTTTGACAATTCCATAGATTATATTCATGGTTGTCGATTCGCGTTGTCAAAATAAATAAACAAATAAATGTAACAACTGTTCAGTTTGCATGAAGATTCATGTGCCAAAAATAATGCAATTTATTTTTCAGCTTGACAACTGTGCGGGTGTATGGTTTATATAAAATGCAACGAAATAAATATTCCAACACTTCGTTACTGTTTTTGCATAAATCGTTACTCCGAACTATACGGTACTCGATAAAATAAACACAATCTCATCCTATCGTGAATCTACGGACACCCATAAATATAATTATCATGTATGCTCGAGTAAAATTTGAATACTAAGCTGATTCTTTTAACTTTTTGATCTATCATTTATTCCGCGATGCTCAATGTTTGATGTTAACATTATCGCAAAGTACGGAAATGAAGAATTCATCGTGTGGGTATATACCAAGTACGTGACAGTGAAGAAGGTAACGGAGAAACCAGAGTCCCGGTTTTTTTTTATTTCAAAAATTCAAGTCCACACGTATACGTGTAACATACTTTTATCGCGTAGTTCAAATTTACTTTAGTCTTATCTAATATTTATCCGGCCAAATGCTCTGACTCTTGACTTGGGTAGGTATAATATTTTTTTTTTTTCCTCATGACATCACGTACATTGCGCGTACATCGAAAGATAGTGTGTAAGTAGGTATCTGTAGACTCGGTACATCAGCTCGTGCTTCATCGAGATATAAATTTACCTCTTCGAGTGGCCCGGCGAGCTTTTGTTACAGTATCTCTTATACATCGGAGCTTTTTGATAAGTGTAGCTTTTAATACTTTTGCGCGGCGTCTCCAGGTGCGCACGAGCGCCGAACAATCGTTCTTTCTAACGAGCCAGAGCGCCAAAAACGTCCACTATAAATTTCAAGAAGTTCCAAAGTTAGAAGAGTATCTCCAATGTGTGTGTATACATGGATACTACATGTATTTATGGATTATTTCACGTGAAGATTTAATACAACTATGTCCTATCGATTTAAAACAATTAAAATCGTTACTTCGCATTGTAACAGTTTTTTTTTTCTTTTTTCTTTAATGTTGTATAACATGTTTTTCTTCGTTCATGTTTCGCGATAAAACCGAGAATAAGATATTCGAGTACCTACGTCGTTCAGGTTTTTACAAATATATAAAATAACTCGCAGTATCGGGAATGATAAAATAATTCGTCTTGGTTTAAAAAAAGCAATCATTGCCATCCTGTAATTCGTCTACGTGAACAATTTTGTGATGTCAATTTGGTGTATAGGTAAATACTGTACCTGCAAATTCAGATGGTGTGTGCTTAATAACGGAATGCAAAATTTTCTTTTGGGCCATCGAAATCGCATATGTATAATATTAGCTTTTTGTCTTCACCGAAATTAATTTTTGACCCCCATGTGTATGCATAATCTTACAAAAACAAATAACCCGCAAAATGTGGGAGCTACGCCCCAACTAAACTGTATAGCCTTTGATTTTTTGTTGTTAAAACTGAAGCGTGATACAGTAGTTGCATTGTAAGGTACACCAATTAGGCTTCGCGCCTCATGAATTACGGACAAGGATGGAGCACCTACAAAGTTTTCACTCCCCGACCCCACCGCGCATCGAAGCTGCAAGAGCCAAGTGCGTCGGAGTGTAAATTTTTTTTTTTTCTCACCGAAAAAAGCCTCGCGGCCAACGTGCCTATCGTCAAATCAAATAGCCTCATATATGCAGGTGGTGGGGGGTTCCCGGGTCACGCTAATTATTCGATGGATCTCCACCGAGGCGAGAATTTTCCCAGAGCATCAATCGTGTCGAGGGCCTTTATTGTTCTCCTCTTCTCCGCGTCGCGCCCGGGGTATTGATAATTCCTGCGGACGGGGGCACGAGGGCTGTTGCTTTTACCTGTAGCATAACCACGACGAATAAATGCTTGTTTCAAAGGCCATTTACCAGACCCTCCTGGAAAATAACGTACTTGAATAACGTTTTTCCCTATACCCCTCGGGTCGCGAGTGCTGTCAAAGTCGGTGCGCCCGGCCAACTTATCGCAACCGTGTAATCATCCATTGGAAGAAGCAAGATTCAATTATACGCTCGATGGACTGTCTCCCTGAATAAAATCACCCGATTGCGGTATACATATAACGTTTGAAGAATACCTAATATATATCTGTACGTACGTCGGAAGCCAAACGTGATTTATGTAAAAATAAAATTCGGGGCTGTCGTGTGCGTGGAGCTCGAACGCCCCGTCGAAATGTGTAAGGCCGCGTCAATCAGAGCCCTTTTATCTTTTCGACGCGAATAAGTCACAAAGGGGAGTCGATTAATTTCTCAGTGACGAATCGATGAGGGAGCATCGGGGACCGATCAATCAGTCACGGGAGTCACCATTAGTGCCAAAACCCACGCTAACCACCTCTACGTGTATAAAATACATGACCTTTGAGTACCATATAATTATATACGTCTGGCGTTTGTACATTTATTTACATTTCGGGTGTAGCGGTTGGTTCGATGTATACTTTCTCCCTGCCGATGCCCCCTTTGCTCGTAATTCGCATTTACATCCCGAGGGGAAAAAAAGTTTTGAAAGTTTTGTTCGGAAAATGCGGGGTGTAGGTACTGCTTATAGAATCAATTTCAGTCATCTCGCCTATTTACCGGAGGGTGGAAAACTTTTCGCCGACACCGCATCCACGTTCATATTTTTATTTTTCTTTGCACACGTATAGGGATCACACGTAGGGCCATTAACAAATAAACAAAATCATTTGGCGGAACGAAGAATCGCTAGACCGAGGGAGGGGGTGGAAACAAAACAAATAAGCATACGTATGGGGAGCCCGGACGCTCGTGAATTCGCTCGTCCAGCGCCTGAAAGAAAAACACAGGCCCTTTACCCCCCGTGCGCGAAAAGTCCCTCCCTCGCTCTGTCGTTATTGGGGTGTTGTCGCTCGCTCGAGGGCCGTTGCGAGACTCGTTGGTCCCGGCAAAGAGGAGAAAACGTTGGTTCCGAATCATACCAACTGGGAGTGGTGGCCACGGAAAAATCGTCTTACCATACACGTAACTCATTCATTGCATTATTCATACATATTTATTTTGTAAGTACGATCTTTCGATTCGATCATTCTGTCATTTGTCGGTTTTGCCATCGGCAGTTGTCAATCTGAAACTTGGTGAATATTAAATAACATACGCCCGAGTGTTATTAAAATTATTTTTAAGATTAATTAATGGAGTATCACTTTATTTCCTTGAATCCAGTGTTGTCGCAAGTGGCGGCTCCTAAGGACAATATTAGCGCAAATTGTGCCCATGGAGTTGTTGCCCCGGCGCTGAAACATGGAAGTTTGTTCATTCAAAGAAATAAAGAGATTCTCCAAATTCTCATTTTTACGTTGTTACTATGGCTGCGTATTGTACTCATATACGTACGCTTGCATTTTTTATCAGCATCCATCATTAACCATTGCCATTCAAGTAAAAACGAAACACTTTCCACAAAGTCACCGCATCTTCTCGAACGAAGTGTTAACATACAGGACGAAGAAAAAGTGCATGGCAAACATACTAATACCGCATGCAATGACCTACCTACGCACATGGCGACGCGACATCGTATCAACTGAAAATAAACTAAAGTCCCAAACCGAATGACAATGATGATGGAACCCGTTTGGCGAAATTGCAGGTTCATCCGTGCGGTCGCTACCGCCACAACACCGTCGTCTTCATTCTGGCCAAGGAGTACAACCTGAAGAACCTGAGGACAATACACAGGCTGGACCGGCTGACGAGCGGCATTCTCTTGTTCGGCAGAACGCCCAAGAAGGCTCGACAAATGGAGCATCAGATTAGAAATCGACAGGTCGGCGCTATTTACTTTACACTCGAGCCCCTTGCTCCAACTCGTCTCGAGAGCTCTCCACTCCTCTCTCTTTGTTTTTTTCACACATACTATCGAGGATGCCAGTCTCGACGAGATCTTAATCCAAAACAATTTTTTTTTTCCCTCTTACGTTCTCCCGAGAACAACATGAAGCATGAAAAAAAAAAAACAAAGTAATAATAATTCGAGTGATGGCGTTGTTGCAGGTGCAAAAGCAGTACGTGTGCCGAGTCGAGGGCGAGTTCCCGGAGGAGGAGATCGTGTGCTCGGAGCCAATCGAGGTGGTCTCGTACAAGATAGGCGTGTGCAAGGTGTCGGACAAGGGCAAGGACTGCGTGACCAAGTTCAAGCGGCTGAGCTACAACGGCAAATCCTCGGTCGTGCTGTGCAAGCCCCAGACCGGCCGGATGCACCAGATACGCGTCCACCTCCAGTACCTCGGCTATCCCGTGGTCAACGATCCGCTCTACAATCACGTGGTCTTTGGGCCCCACAAGGGCAAGGGCGGCAACATCGGCAAGACCGACGAGGAACTCGTCAAGGACCTCATCGGCATCCACAACGCCGAGAACTGGCTGGGCATGGACGGCGACTCCGAGATGAGCCTCTTCAAGCCCAAGCTCGACCTCGACGACCGGATCCCCAGCGACAAGGAGGGCTCGCCCTCCTCCACGCCCAGTCTATCCGAGGACGACCAGCAACAACAACTGCAACCAGCTCAGGTGTCTATAATAATTATTACAATTTGGTTTGGATGTGGTCGGTATACAATACGTTTCTGATTCGTTTTTTTTTTTTTTTTATATTTTGTAGCAGCAGACGCAACCTCAGCCACAGTCACAGCCAGCCCAGTCGTTGAAGGTGACGGTGGGCACGCAGACGGGTTCGGAGCCGCCAGACTCGACCTTTTCAAACGACAAGGTGACGGTCGACTCCCACTGTTACGAGTGCAAGGTCAAGTACAGGGACCCCAAGCCCTCGGATCTTGTGATGTATCTGCACGCGTGGCGCTACTCGGGCCCTGGCTGGGAGTACGAGACGCCCTTGCCCGCTTGGGCTGCCAGTGACTGGTCGACTCCGGTGGACCAATAGTTTGCCCCCGCACGGCTGGCAGTCGTATCAACCAGACATCAGCAACGACAACCACCACTACCCTCGTGGGATGCAACGAGTTACCTCTGCTGACGTACACGAAGGGTCAAGAACGAGACGTCTGTTGCCGTCTTGTCTTGATCGCTACCTATTTGACCGTACACCGGCGACGCTCGTCGTGTTCGTATATTGTAGTTTAATGTGTGAGGAAGAAGGACTTCTTTCTTGACGATTTTATAAGATAAAACTAGGAAATAAGCCTGATTGTGTCTCGAGCGCACTCGCAATTCAATTGTACAGAAGTGATGAAGATTGTTCTGTGTAATATGACGCGTGGAATCATCAACAAACTTTTACGTATACAAAATATTACAAGTTAGAAGCAGATGGTTGTAGTAGGATTAATTAATTGTAAGCGTAGGTGGCTATCTATGTAAGATGATGCTGGCTGTGATGCGCTGCTTGTACATTAAGTATACTGTAGATTTCCGTAAATTTTTCATTTAGTCGTAAGCCAAGCAGTAGCGACACAGCGTCTTTCAGAACATGAATATTATTATACATGTGTATATACATATATGTATCGGTGCGGAACATTTTTAAAACAAGAGACGGAGTTTATGACGAGAAAAATATATAAAAAATGTATTGTAATATCCTCCCCCGTGCCTTCCATCGGTTCGTGAGTTGAAACCTACAAAAAAAAATATACATAAAATAAATGCATAAGTATGTTATACATCGTGATGCCCTATTGCTGTACTATATCCAACCAATCTCCTTTCATCTTCCCGATATGTATGAGATATTTGTTCAGGCGCCTGAAAAAGTCTACATATAGTAATTAGTATAATGTGACAGCGAGACAGTGAGCAAATGTATACATGTACACAAAAGTGATGTGTATGGGAAAAAATAAACCCCGGTCTGTACCTAATTTACTTGGTTGCCAATTATAAATTAAAAAATAAATTTACATCATTTACTGTTGCGTACAACTTTGAATTAGCAACACAATCAAGTTCATTTTTAACGGTTGCACTGTATTAAAAACATTGAAACTTTGTGACCAATATTTGAAATATTTAAAAATAATAAGTGCAAAACTTTTATACATTTTGATTCATTTTATTGCATATACTTCATTGGTTAACATTGTTCGCCTATATGTGACGATGTACTAAATTGCTTGCAAATCAAACAATATTAACTATTTTTAGTATGGATGAATATAGTACTATCAAATAATATTTCCGAATTTACCATCCATTAGTTGTGAAAGAATCATCATAAATAGGTATGTTTTGATTTTTATTTTTTATGTTACCTATTTTGTAAAATGTTGGAACCAAATACGAAATTGTACCGTATAAAATCATATCACAGTTACTTGTTGCTAAATTTTAAACAATTATTTTAGTACTTTGAAGTGGTGTCGTATGTTGGGATCAAATTTTTAGAGAATATTAGGGACGAAATTTTCTATAAAGAATTTGGTGAATAGTATATCTAACAAAATTAAGAACCATGTAATAACATTCTAGATAATACATACTTGAAATAAAATTTTAAAAAGTACATGCATTGAAAACCCTTTTTAAGTAAATTTTTATATTACATATATCGAATCAAAAAGTATGAAATCATTGAACCAATTATTGACTTTTTAAGTTAATGTCCAATCTTCTTGGCAGCTCTTAATTTTAGAATTCATTTGTGTATTTTGAAGGATAAAATACTTATTGATCTGCTTTTCAAAATAGTTCAATCAGCTCAAAGAATTTAATAAGGTAAAAAAAGGTTTTGTTCGTGTAATCAGTAGCACACTTTAATATAATGTTTACAAAAAATTAAATAAAAATAACAAAATCCAAATGTTTTGGATAGATACGATTTCTCAAATCTTTTTCTTGAATAGTCAAATCTTCTTATATTAAAACTTAGTATTTAAAATTAAAATTAAACTTATAATGATATAAAAAAAATTATTGTAAAGCGTTTAAATTTTCTAGCCATAGTATACATGCAGCTGTAAATTAAAGTATATTGTATCATTACCTTGAATATATTGTTTACATGCATAAATTTTAGGTATCTTGCAGGCAATGAAAATTTGAATGCAAATTGATGTTGATAAATTGTGCTCTTAAGTATATGTTAATGTTATAAAAAAAAAATAATGTTAATATAGTTGATATTTTCTGAGAAACGCAAAATCAAAGTCATAACTAAAGGGTGTAAATGAATATATTGTTGATTCAAAAAATAAAAATGTTTTTGTTATGTCAAAAATGTTTCGTTATAAATAAAAAAATCAAAACTGTACAAATAAGCTTATTAAAATATCAAAAATTAGATGAATTTTAAAGTTTTTAAAATACTCGTTCTTGCTTGTTATTACAACATTGTAACGCTAATTATTACACATACGAAATAATAACGCGTACGGTTTTAAAGAAATAAATAAAAATGAAAGAAATCATTATATTTGAAAGATAACTTTGTAATATTTTATACTTAATGTTGTAATAATGAGAAATATAAATAATAAAGCTTCTATAGCTTTATACTAGAAACCAAAGGAAAAAATTTTCAAGTTAGAATTTTCATTAAATAAAAACTGATTTGTACTAAATTTACTCAGGATAAATAATAAATTTTGTTTAGGGCTATAAAAATTTTATTCTGTTAGAAAACACAGAGAATATGTTGAGTAAGGGAAAACTATAAATACAGATTGTGACATTGAAATTTAAAGAAATTAATAAGAGGGTGTTACAGTGATCAATATATACAAGAGCGACCTGCGTGTGTGCTTATTTATCTCGGTAGAACTTTTTAATCAAAATATACTGATGTGACAGCTATGTACTAGCTAAGTAATCAATAGTTTTTAAATACAAGAAAAAACGATCTGGATTGTAGTACCTAGCGCTGTAAAAGCCTCAACTGGCGATAAAGTGTCAGCGATTGCTTTTGTACGCACACTGTACTGTGTATATGTAATGTATTAGCTAAAGTGTCAAGTAAATTTTTTTTTTGTAAAATGGACGAATTAACGAAAAGTGGTCGTTCGATACTTTTTTGTGTTATTTTTACCTATTCCTAAATGATATCTTCTGGCAAAACAGATTTTGATTTTTAAATTTATTCTCTGTGAGAAACACAAATAAAAAGCTTGCAACATACACATTTATGTTTTATTTAAACATTCCAAGTAAATTTTTTTTCAATATAAATTAGAAAAATTTTCAGTCACTCATATTTATTACAAACAGTATTTTATTATGCAGTTTTTAATAATTTCATTTCTATAATATGTTGTAAAATAATATATAATTTCACTGCTTATCCTTATGACTATCCTAAATCATACTCAAACGCTAGGGACATGAAAGAAACTTATTACAGTCAGGAATGATGAAAAATTAATTTACGTATCTTCAACAATAATAAATAAACTTTGTTTTTTTCTACGATCCTCTGAAAAAGAAAAAAACAAGCATGAGTCCTCTTTTATTCTTGTTTACATGGTATAAATTTCAAAGGTTTTAATTAATTTGGTAAACGTTAATTTTAAAATACTTACACAATGATGTTATTGATAGGGATATGGATGAGTTTCACAAAGAATCCTATGAATCCCATTATGCAGAAGCCAATAGCAGTTGCAATGGCAATCTTTTGAAATTCTAAGTAGAAATTGAATAAAATGAGACGAAAATTGAATTAAGTATCTTGCTCTAGGAGTAAAAAAAAAAAAAAAAAAAATTTGGCTCTGTACCTTTGCGATCAGGCTTGGAACATCTTTTGACAAGACGGATGCTGTCCTTGGCGAACTGCTTGCCAGGTGCTACGAACTTCTTGATCTGATCCATTTTTGTCTTTCTGCAAAAACACGAAACGCACGAACATTTTAATGAAAATATGTTTCAGCGAGTTAACCTCTAATGTGACACTTGTCACTATACACAGTCAAATTGATATATGCGTCAGTTACAGCTGTGCTAAAAACATATCGCGTACCAACTTAAGTTAATGAACAATTTGTTACTGCTGTCGATTTTGTTTATAAAGCACGTACTAGAATAACTCGTCAAAGATCTATTGAAAAGCTAGTAAGTTATCCAAACACAAAAAGGCTAACAGCTTGTTCAAAACTTTACCAAGTGCGGGATGACTAGCCCAACAAATTGGTGAAGAAAAAAGAGTGCCGTGATAAACTATAAGACTAGATAAAAACCTTGGGTGCAGTTTTCTTCAAAATGTCCGAGGAAAAAGACCCTTGTACTTACATTCGTTCGAGGGTCGGGTCGACGTACTCTGTAGATGATGCACAGTTATTTGCTGACTGCTTGTCGTGGACTAGAGGCAGCGAAGGAGTAGGAGTAAGCTTCGAACGCAGGCGTACTACGTGGACTTTTTTAAGTTAAACAGTCTCTGTACGCTCAGAGATCATATGAAACGCAGCAGCCATCATCGATTCTGTGCTTCGAAGGGGATTTTTTCAAGTAACCGAGTAAATTAATAATGAAAAGGTATTTAAAATATGCTGACGTATGTATAATTGTGATTAGAAGAAAAGTGATCACTGGTCAGTGTCACTGCTGACCGGTCCTGTTGTATGTGTTTTTATATATTTGCCCTTTGCACACCCGTCCGATTTCTTAGATCGGTTACCACCAAGGCTCGGCTCTCTCTTGAGGGTTACTAGAAATTTAATAATATGCACGTTTTCATCACGTATGCTTACAAATTACAACTCATCATTTTCGAGTGGGATACGTTATAAAATACTTGTTGCCTTAAAATCAAAGTTTTTTATATGCTAAGATTTTCTAGTAGTAACCTTGAACAATGAGATTTATTAAAAATATTAGTTCACTTTGAATTTTTAGTTCGAATCACCAACCGGTAATTACAGGTTTACTCAAATGGTAATTCGTGTGATTTATTCAATCAATAAAAAAAATTGATGTGTGTGAAGGTTCTTCCATACAGGTATTTATTTAACAATTTAGTTTTAACACTGCATAGCGTAAGTAGAAAAATTGAAAACCAATAATTTGAAAATATAGAGTTGGCTTACATTGAAAATAGTACAAAAATTTTATTAGTGATGTTCAATTTCTACATTAACAGCCATAACTAAATAAGGATAAATATTAGTTTGCATCATTTGTCATGTTAAAACTGTTAGAACTAATTTTTTATAAACTTTTGAAAAAGTATTCATCAACTGTTTTTTAAAATCATATCTTATGAACAAACGGTTGTGATCACAAAATTTATGTAAATACTTTTACCAATAATTTAATCTTAAATTAAGAACACAGAAACATAGAAATATATTTGGTAACTTAAGATAAACGGAAAGTTTTATCAGCTATCAGCTATTTCAATATCACTATCAGTCATGTGGAGAGATCTTTTTCTTCTTATTATTTGTTCACTAATAGAGTGTCTTTGGGCTTGATAAATAGGTTCAAACTCGCGTAATTGTCTTATAAAGCCACTATTTGGATTAACACAAAATCTTCTTTTTAGCACGATTGCAAATGCTCGTCTGTAAAGCACAATTTTCAGACATTTTAACAGAAATCTCACTTACAGTGACTTAGAATTAAGTAACAAAAATGAACAAACTACTCACTCTTGAGTCAAGTCAAAAGTTTCCATAAGATAAGCTAGCACAAGAGCTGCTGATCTCGACATTCCAGCATTTCCGTGAACTAACACTCGTCCTCCAGAATTTAGCCCTTCGTCTATAAATCTTTTAACCAGCCTAAAGTGTTGTATAATATTTTCCGTTTTAGAATCTGCAATATCCAATACTAAATACCTAAAAAAAAAGTTGCACAATGGTGACTACTATTGAATATTTAAAAATGTATTTTATGGAAATCAGCAATACATACTTGAATTTATCAGGAAAATTTGGCTTTATAAAGTGAGCTTCTATACTCTGACGAACACAAACAATATGACTTATACCACAGTCCAAGAGAGTTTGTAATTTATCTTTACAAGCAGCACTGTAAGGTCCTAAGTATAACCCACGAATTACTTCCTGTGGGCAATCAATTATTAACAATGGAAGATTACATTTCTCGAAATGGCAGTAAGTAGTTCTCTTTAAGCAAAGTGTTAGTGATTCCAATCGTACCTGCATATTTCTTCGCATAGCATATGACCACTGTTGAAAGGTATCAATGAATGGAGACATCTGCTCAGAATCACCAGGGGGTCCATCAATGTTGTGATTTTTCTGCATCAGAAAATAACGTAATAAGTTACAAATACAAGAACATTTTAGACAATGTAATAGTCATATTTAAAGAGACCATTTCTTAATTTTTGGTTCACCTAATGAAACTTGAACAAAAGTACTGGCAAATTGAGCAATGCTATATAGAGATTGTTAGGACTGAGGTGGGTAAGCACTTACAAGATATACATTTTCATTTAAATATAAAATGAAATACAGGCATGAAAAAAACGAACATTAGAGAGAAATATTATAATTTAACCTAAACTTTAAGAAAAGTAAATTCTAAATGACTTACGGGTAGGATGAAAAAAAAATACTGATTAATTTAAAACTAAATGTACGCCCACCTCAAGGGGATCGTCGTCTTCGCCGCTAAGCTGCATCATCTTATTTGAAGGCTCCTTGGCTGACAGACCAAACAATCTTCGTCTCTCAAATTAGGTACAAGAGGATTACAGATTTACAGGGTCGAACTCCGAAATCGTGTGCTTATTTACCGATGGCGTAATTGACCAAGTGCTGAGGCCCGAGGGTGGTCACAAATCTAAACCAGCCGCCACCCTTACTAGAATTGAGGAACCTGGGGCCGTACCATATAACTTTTTTTTTTATATTCATCATTTCATCATCGCCACCCCTTAAGGGCTCAGACATGGCTATTTTGACACTATAAAGTGTATTTAGCCATACGTTGGGTTTAATAACAGTAGAAGGAAACGGTAGATGGATCGGTAGGTTTATTGAAGTACAACTCCCATCCAGAAAAAAACCTCATTCAATGATGAAATTTTTGTCCAGAGTGGGATTTGAACCCCAGCCATCAAGAACTGTAGGCAGACACGCTACCGACAGAGCCATCATGTGGCTCGTACCATTTAACTATTTTTCTGTACATCGGCCTATGTTATAACGATGTGTAAATGGTGTAACCCTATAACCAACCCCGGAACGTTGGAATGGAGTAACCCAATAAAATAGGAACGTTGGAATGGTATAACACATCAGAAACAACGGAATGAATGGTATAACACAAGGTGTATGTATTCCGCAATCACCGCCAGCCAGTTACATATGTACCATAGACATATGATAAATATATACTGCTCGAGTAGAAAGAGACTGGCAAAGTTGAGGCTTTGTTTTGCTTTTTTGTAGAGGGTCTATTTTTTTGAAGGTCGATTTTCGGGTACAAGATGCATTCTAATCTTGTCGCAAGTGACACTTTTAGCAGACAACTTTTTATTTTCTATCTATTGGTCTAAGATGCGGCTGGTTTATAAAATAGACTATTTGGCACTACTTGAATACCAACAAAACTCCTCACAAGAATGAAATATGACCAAAATATTTTGGATCTCTTTAGATCATAATGTTTCTCAACTCTGGTGAGAGTGGCGGCTGGTTTAGATTTTTGACCACCCTCGGGCCTTAGCTTGTGGTCTGTAAAAAGAAAACAAGGTGAGCGCCATATTGCTTGATCAGCCAATCGTAATGTATCTACGATATTTAAATTATGGGCACCTACTTATTCACATAATGTTTACTAATTAATATTTTAGCAAAATAATGCATAGAGATTTCCCATACATTTATGAGTTAAAAAAAAAAAAAAACAATATTGTCTTCATTTCAATATATATGTTGGTATTAAAGCATCCATGGTCGCACTTGTTATTTTATCTAACCATTTTGGGTCTCTACAAGTACTTACTGTTGATTCTTTATATCTCACCTTTTTTTTTTATAAATCGTACCTTATTATTCAACTGCTTTTAACTTTTTTTATCGTTATTTCCTTTGCCTTAAATTGATTTGCAATGACAGCCAGTAGGTTGACTCCAGATGGGGCAAAAAGGAAAGAACGTTATTTTTGTAGATATATCTAATTTTTCCTCGGTACCGCTCGCATAATATAAAAAAAAGTATGTTGCAATCAAATCTCTACAACTATTACACCAAGAGCAATGAATTTTAGGTTAAGTTTACGTGAAACAAAAAATTTTACGTGACTTGTTAAATTTATTATTATACGATCATCATGCATTGCTTTAGCGGGAGTGTACGTGTCTCTTTTTCACACCGTAAAAAGTCTTTCAAATAAAAAAAATAGACTGAAACATACCGTTCAAAAATTTTTATAAGAACATCTGTCACTTTTTTCTTTTCGTTTTTGTTTTGATTTGCAACGCATGCCATGCGTATGAATAGTTATCCAAAGTACACTTTTTTATCCGATGTCAATGTCTTGAGCTTGAAAAAAAAATAAATAGAAAAATAAAGACACAAAAGAGTATAAAATAATTTTGCAGGAACAAGACACTCGAGTGTGAAGCTGAAACTATCAGAGAAATTCTAGCAGCGATACCATAAAGTAACAAATTTTACTTGGGCTACATAAAATAAAAGGGTATGTGTCTTAGTTCTGAAGGTACTCATGGTAGAATTTGTTATTCAACGGTATCTGTTGTAATTTGTCTGCTAGTTTCAGCTTCATCACTCGAGTGAATTTTCAGGCCACAGTTATAATTTAAACCATTTTAATATTTGTCCAAACACTGCACTCGTGAAAATAACATCAAAAATTGCAAAATGTTGCATCGACAATTTCGAGTCAATTTTATTGGGATACCCAAACGCTCCAATTACTTACGAAAACAAAAGACTACGAATGAACGTCATTAGCACAATTCAAGTACCTCCCAACTGAGTACAACGCGTAAGTACACTGGCCGCCCATACAATACGACACGTATATACATATACTAGTGTTGAGGTACCCATGCCGATGGTGGTTCCTTTCTAAAAATAATTGCCTCCTCGAGAGCATGGGATCGAGCTAGAGAAAAATCATATTTACTGCCACTGCACGAGCGGCTGCACGTTGCGAAATCGCAAAAATGCGCTCGACTTTTCTTTTTTTTTTTCCTCTAGCTGCTGCTGGGCCGAACTATACAGGTACGTTTATTAAGTTCATAAGTAAAAGTGAGCCCGTCAAGTGGTCTCGAGTCGGCTTTTTGCTGAATTCGTAATTATCAAAAAATCATACGTGTCACTCGAGTGTTTACTCGGCTCTGCCTACATCTCCCTGATGGGAAAAAATGTACATATGCTGCAAATTGTAGTACAATTATTACCTTGTATACTTTTCAACATAATATCTACAACTGTGATGACAAATCGGTTTACAAAAGATGAATATTGTTTGATATAGGTATGTACATATTGCATGAAACAAAAAAAAACTGTTCGTATGTACGTGATATGTGTGTGGGGCTACAAAGGTAATGTTAAGAAATCCAACGTTATCGAAGAAAAAGCGTGATTTCGCAATTTCGCGAGAGTTGCGCAGACAGACCCCCTCCGGAAGCTCTTTTTCTCTCTCTCTCTCTGCGATCGGGCCGCGGTTGCGTGAAAAAGAAAACCATTTCCCGATGCGATTAGACATGTACGCGTGTAACCATTAGTCACGTGTAAGCAGATAACTATATGTATGAAACGAGAATTGAGCTCTGCGATTTTTGATCGCTTGTTCGATCGGCGCCTTGATCGGTACGAATAATACAGGCGCATTGTAGATGCCGGTCTATTGTATCAAGTGTAATATTTACAGGGGGGGAAAGCCTCAAGTACAGTCTAACTTTTTCTGTTTAAAAAATGACATTGGCAATAAAAAAGAAAAAACAATGTGTTGCACTTTCACATCATTTTTTAGTACTTACTGGGTAGGTGTTTAAACGAAATGCTAGTGTGTAAAAAGGCGTGAGTTCACTTTTATAACTTTTTAAGACATCGCAATGCACGTACTCGCATCGTTTTTACATCGACCAGGGCATTTGATCGATTGTTTCTAATTATTTTAAAACAACGTAATATAGAGATAGGAAAAATGTATAACGAATCGATTGCCATGAATAATTCAATATCGTCAAAAATATGTCACGCTTTTTTTTCCGTAGACGGTGGGTCAGCAGTATTTATAACGTATATTACACGGGTAAGTTGACTCGACGGAATTAAGTTTATTTTGGAAAGCACATAGAGTTCCAATTTTTCAATAATTTTTCTGTCCATCTGTTCTTAATTAATTAATTATAGTTTTGATCGAGCGGCACCTCGACAACATGACATTTAAAAGTTATATTTAGTCGGGCGTGTCGTCGAAACGTCATACTAAAACTGATTATACTTACCTGTATAAGTACGAAGGACTCTCATCCACATCGGTCGGACTCAAAGTCATCGCCCGAGGCATTGGCACAATAACGAGGGTCGCTCCAATTACTTCGATAACGAGACGCGCTCGCCGCTTGTTCTCGTACATACCGATTATACACGTGTATGTATCGATCACCTGCCTCATCCGTACCCATACATCTACGCCGCGTGAGTTTCCTTGCCTCTAATTGCCGACTCTATAGATCTCGCGCTACTTACCTTTATCCTCTAATTACCGGTGATGAACGATGCTCTCGCTTTCAGCCGAAGATAAATCGGTCCCCGCGACCATAGAAGACGACCACACTCCTTTCGCCCGACTCAATCGTCCAAAGTTATATCGCTTAATTGAATTAAAATTCTTCACGCGTGCACCTCTCATATGACCGATCTGTCGCTCCAGTTGTGTATACCTATATACAAACTGAGAAGATCTAAGTATACTTACACTCATCTCTACCTATATGCACAATGGAGCAAAACAAGTACCTAAATGCGTGTATATGAAGCTTGTGGTGCGTATGGTATTAGGATACCTATACGCCGATTTTCCTGTACTTAGATTATTAGTTTCTCGAGCGAGTTCTACTTTCGATCGCAGGAAAACGAGGCGGGGAAAAAAAAAGCACCGAGTCAATCTCGCTGGCTCCTATGCAAATATGCGCGCACTGGACGAGTTACGCAAGGGATCGAGCTATACAGGTATACGAGCCCGGGGCGCCTCGACGCGGAAGTTATATTGTGGCACGCGTGCGGGGAGATTGAATTAAAATTGCCCCCCCCCTCCCCCGATTTTCAATCGCTCCCGCAAAAACGAAAATCAGGAATATCAATCCGCTTTTCCCGCACGTGTAACACGCTCGACAATTCATCGAGAAGATGAGGATTGCCGACAAAGTTCCTGGCTCGATCCTCGTTAGCGCGAAACGCGATGCGATACGATAATTGTTACGACTGTGCGCCCTCAGCCGCGCTTTCTTCGTTACTTGAACGGAACACACGCATACGTGTAAATTTGTATAGGTCCACGCCACGGGCAGCTTTTTTTTTTTTGTTTTGTTTTGTTTTTTGTAATTTTACGCGCCAATATACCAGTGTTTTGTTTTGCGCTAGTTCTGCGCTCAGTATGGCAAATATCATGATGTACATCAGGTAATCGGACGGGATCGCATGATCGGCAAAAGATTGCACGCTCGTTCCTCAAGCAACTGTTTTCCGCGAGATCTGTAACAATATATCGAGCATGA